CTCTGAGAGGAAGTTTTACTTAGTTTCTTCTATGAATACCAAGCAAATGCCAGAGTACATTCTAACAAACGAGCCACGGACCACGCACGATATTTCCTTCCTCCTCCTTGTTCCCACCTCTGATATTTTACACACACATACACACATTCATGCACAACACTATCATACATATCGAGAAGTCAGGAGCTTAAATCATGTCGTGGCAGGGTGGTGCCCCGCTGGGAGAGTAGTGTGGCGGGAGAGACCCCGCAATACGACTTATAGGACGGCGTCGGATCTAACATTCCTGCGGACAGAGAAATACTGCCAGTCCCCGTGATATGACAAGCATGACACGAATGGGACGGCCACAGCAGTAGATGCACCCGTAAATGGCCATCATTCAATCAATTGTAGGTGCGACCCCGCAAATAAAGCATTGAAGAACAGAAGGTGCTACAGTAGGGCAGGATCGGTGCCAGCTAAATAGCCTTCTTAAACGGTGCTGGTATGATTCTTATTCCAAAAGTCTTAAAAAGATCGGGGTTTCTGGGAGAAAATCAAGTCTGATGACGGAGGAGTACGTTAAAGAACCAGCCATGGACTATATGCGATCTTTCCTTCCCCTTTATTCATCGTCACTCTTCCACGCTTCGTAAAAGTAGCGACTTCACGATACAGTCTGGCTTGCGTAGGTTGTAAATCTGTCGCCACAAACTGCTCCTTTGGGAGAATGAGGACAGATTTTCAATCCACGCGAGCTTGAAGCTCTTTTGAAGCACGAACTGTTTTCGTGTAAGTGTCCCTTTAGAATTGAACGATGGACTGCTTTCTCTTCTCCATATCGACTGTCTTCCACGATCTGTGCCTATTCAGAAAATACTGCGAGTGTGGGAATGACAGGCGGAAGTTCGAATTGGGCTCTAGTTGCAGTAAGGAAAATTGAATATCAAATGTAGCGTCTGATGATCAGAGACCTCACCCCAACAACTGGGAATATTTTTAAAAAATTCGGTTATTAATAAAAAACTGGTTGTGTAATACGATTATTCTTAAATCGTAATTTTCTATTAACATAAATTAAAATATTACAGCAAAAAATGTAGTAAACAATGGAGTTTTTTTTAAGAAATTGCACATTTTCAATCAGTTTTGAATGATATACAAATTCCAACATTATAGAAAGTAAAAATGAAATGTTGCTAATTTATTTATATAGTTTATATTATAACTTCAACATGATAAACCGGAGACCAGAGCTAATGCATTTATGGAGTGTTGAACCCATTTCGCCTCTATAATTTCCTCTCGCGTTGATCAGAGTTGCTACCAGTAAGCGTTCTCTTCAAATAAAAGAATTCAAATAAGAGAAATTGAGAAACTTTTTGTTGAAAGATTATGAAATGACAATATTATTGCCGATAAAATTCCTGTTTCAACGAATATTAAACCTTTTTTTCTCAAATTTATTACATTGTAAAAATTAATCTTTATGATAATCGAAAGAGTAACTCGAGCTTTACAGAGTTATTTTAATCTTTAAATAAATTATGAAAGCAGCTATTTGTAGCATACCGCAAAATATCATAAGCAATATATTTAATGAAATATAATTTTGTTTTGATATTAAGCAATACAATGTTACGAAATCACAAACATGAATCTTGCTTTACATTTCACCAATCTTTGATAGGTCCTCCTACCAAAGAAGTGGTACCGTGTTTCACATGAAAATGAGTTATTAATAACAGTTTTCTCTAAATCGTAAATTGAATACTAGATTAATCATCATGGTCATTAACGTTTGTTAGAAATTACGTAAGCACGCAACGTTAGATAGAAATTCCACTTGTTTAAACATTATTACTTTGAATTATTGTATAACGACGTAGAAATTGGACATATTTAATCATCCTGGTATAAAAATTGTCTTTGAAGAAGATAGAATTATGTTCCTAATCATAAGATTTTTTTAATATGCCGTGCGTGGATATCGGTTTCTAGTGCTTGTTTTCCGTGCGAGAAACAATTGTTTATTTTTTCATTCTAAATAATAGTGTGCGCAACATCATGAAGCAAGCGTGAAACATAAGGAATCGTGTGCGAAATTTCTTTCGTACACAGCGTGTTAAAAAATTAGGTACGCAACACATGCGTGAGTTAATTCTCTCACTTCTTACTATTCTACAATACAACTAAATACTAAATTTTACTTCTCAGAGTAACCATAAATCAGGGTTTACAGTCAAAGATGCTCTAATGCGGCGTGTTCTGGCATCTTCACGTCGAGTATAATAATTTGAAGCTAATAAACGTCTTGGAGAACAGCATTCAGTATTTCCGTCCCTCTGTGTCTCGCGGCAGGAAGTGGGATTCAACCAAAGAGTTTTCTAATACTTTCGTGCTATTGATGCGTCACACGTGTTCAAATATAAAAATACGGTTAAAATATAAATCCCATTGTCCTCTACACATTGAAGTGTGGAAGTAAATATGCTCAATATTGTCCTCTAAATATGCTAATATTCATTCTAAAACAACTCCAATGTAAAGCAGAGATATGAACAATTCATCGCGATATAGAGTTAAACCAATAAGGTGCAAGGCCGGTGCCTCCCGTACTACAGAGAATTCTCCAAAGTTAGCAGCCCTGAGCCGTGTGGAGAGCGCTTACTGCAGGCAGCTCTGATCAACGCTAATTATTAACGCGCACTTTAGAGTATCGGTAACGTGTTTCGAAATTTCTTTTTAAGTTAACCGTGTTATAATAGGCGTCACTGATTAATTTGCGTAATTAGTTCAGCCAAGTTAATCCTCCAGAGGTGTATCCACAAAAAAGTATATTATAATTATCTTTTAATTTAAGGAGAACCGTAAGACCCTGTATCTACAATGTTACATTCAAGGAACATTATTTTACAATATACTAGAGGATTCATTTTTTAAGATAGTTTCTTGACCATATTTGAAACGTTGTACCATAGGATTTTAAAGAAATTTTAATTTGTGTTGTAGACATGCTTTTTTTTATTTGTAGAATATTTATACCTCCATTTTTATTAGCATGTAGCTAATTTATTTATACAATAATATACAACAAAGTGGCTATGATAAAAGTTGTTGTTTGACTGAAGTTGTTGTTGAAGTTGAAGTTGTTGTTTGAGTGAAGAATGCCTAAAAGTTTGAGACACTAGGTCTAATAATTCATGAAATAAAGTAAATCATAATTACTGTTCTAGTTTCTTTTTCAGTGATGCCATAGTGTGTCTGCCTTGTTTTTCACACTCTCCTAGTTTCCCCCTCTAGTTTCCTTATTTCTCTCATTGTAAATAAAAAAAATGGGAGATAATTTCACATTGGCCACTATGCATAACAAGTTCGATGCACAGCACTTTATTTAACTAAAAAAGCTTTGAAACAACACAGATAAAATCAATACATCAGTGAAAACGGGATGTATTAAAGTTTAATAATTCACTAAAAAGAGAAAATCGATTTTTTTTCATTTTTCAAGTCCTCCCATCTTTTTACTATTGCTAGCTAACGGTGATATCTCTTTCACTGAGAATGTGTAAACAGTTAAATGCTCACTCACTAACAATGATGGAATACTCTTGGAACAATCAATTTTATCTTTGAATACCTTTTATACTTTGAACAACCAATAGTATCACCGATTATTGTATAATTTTTGGAAAAAGGGTGGTTTTAAACATACATTTTTTAAAACGTTTCACTGCTTGACAGGGCCTCTTTCAAACTTTTTTAGGGGCCACGCTGTCCCCGGGTTCCCCTATGCACTCACCTATGCCAATGTTACATGAAGAGTCAAAAGAAAACGGAATACTATCATACTATCACGCTGCCACTCAGATGTTTTATTCTTCCAAATTGTAATTTTCAACGTGATACCTGAATGACGATTATTTTCTCAAAGTGTAACAAGAGTATATGAATGTGAAATAGAAATATATGAGCTCACACATGCTCATGTAATGTATCAAGGAATAATTTCTCCTGAGGAAACCAGCAGGCAAAGTGTTATTGGTTCTGGACGACCATGAATCTTATAGCACTGATCCAAGTACGCTGAAATTCGCTAGAAGGAACGATGTAAAAACGATTAGCCTCCCACCTTAGTCTATTTCGGCATCAGGAAGAACGATTCTGCAGACCATTTAATTATTTTTTCCTGAAGTCAATGAGAATTTGGATACAATCCAACTCAGGCAGGAAAGGTTGGAGGCTTCAGTTTGAATTTTGAATTTCCATTAAAAGAAGTATGACAGAAAGCAGGAACTTCATCATGCGCTTGAGCCTTGAAATACCCCATAGAATCTCCAAAAAGAACCGGAAATACCATATTCCTATTCCGATGCTGAGTTAGAAATAATTAACAATTCTACTTGTGTTGAACTAACTACTGTGATGAAGCAGGCTTTCCAATTAGATAAGCTTAGGTAACAATAAGGAAGGCAGACGAGCTGACAATTTCCATAGAAGTTTCGGATACATCTACGCTGAATTCATGTTCATTCAAAATCCTAAAGAAAAGGCATTATAAACAATATTTACGATATAACTGTATTACGAAATATTATTCAGTATTTCGAGGGTTTAAAATACCAAATTATAACACTAACACAAAGGTAATTTATACAATAACACTAAGTTAACTTATAGGATTCTACGATGCACAGTTTAAAGTAATTTCCATAGAATTTATTATAACATTTTGCTATTACCACTCAACATCACTCCAAAATATTAAATTTAGGGCCAACCATCTGCATACAACTTCTGTTGAAACAATCCAGTGTACTGGTAGAAATTAGAGTAATAGCTTTTCAGCAACGATAATTCCCTCTCTCAGAAATTAGTGAATATCCTAGTGATACAATTAATGATGAGTTCATTTTAAATGAGTATTGAACACCAAGGAATTTATATCTATAAATGAAATTGTAACGGTAATATGGTTTTGACTTATTGATAATAATTGTGACATCCCACTATTTGAAATGTTTTTCCTCGCGCAAGCCCACACTGGACGTGCATTTCTCAACGTCGCATCGCGTCGCGTAGCAGCGATCTCGCAGAGATTTCAATCGGACCCTCGGCAGCCCGCGCGTTCCTGCAGCGAGCGGCGGTCGCCCTCGGGGCCGCGGGGCAAACTTCGTCGCTCGGCCGCGAGAGCGCGCGGCGTTCGCGGCAGAGGGCGCTCGCCTCTGGTGCGGGCGCGGTGGCGCCGCGGCGCGGCGGAGGCTGCGGGCGCGCGCGGGCCGCCCAGTTCCCCTCGCAGCGCGCACCCGGGCGCCCGGCGCGACGCCCTCCACGCGGACGGCCGGCCCACCACGTGCGACTGCGAACCGCGAAACACGACCGACGACGTCCGGCGACCGGCTCACGAACGCGAACCGATTCGCGGCATGGAGCACCGGCGCGCCGCGCGCCCGCCGGCGCCCGCGCTCCTCGTGGTGATGCTGGTGATCACTGCACTGGTGACGGCACCGGCGGCCGCTGCTGTCAGGAAGAAAGGTAAGTCGCCGCCCCGCGCCGCGCCGCGCCGCGCCGGCGTCCACTTGCGGCGATAGTACGCGGCGCGTCAGCGGCCCCGCCACTTGTTTGTTATTTGTTTTATTTATTTTGCGCACGTCTCACAGAGTTGCCGAGAGTTCGCGAACGACAGTCCGCGAGCCAAGTTTGTAAACTTTCTTCTTTTTTTTCGCTAAGCGACTCGGGATTGCTTTATGGGACGGGATTTGTGACTCAACCAGCCACAATGTACTCTTTATGGAATGGAGTGGAAGGGGAAGTTTTGTGGGTAAACACGGCAGCTACAAAGCCAAAACAACTTGAAGTAATAACGACTCAAGAGAAGAAAAAAAACGAGGTCCGAAATGGTGGATGTCCACATAAATGTCCAGATCGATTAATAATTCATGTTTCGTGACTATAAAATTATGAATTTTCGCCTCGGTCAAACACCCAAAAAGATAGTGGAAAAAAGAAACTCTTACCTAAAAAAGTAGGGAACCGCTTCTTATATACGTGTGTAAACATGACAGGAACCGCTTGAATATATCGCTGCCAGATGCACGTGCATCTGATTTCCCTCCTAGCGAGGAGCTGCCAGCTTGGACGCGGTGCGTTAATAACCCACAGAAATGGTCAGGACGACCCGTTCGTCCGCGAGCGGAGATTCGAATCGCCGCGAAGGCGGGGGCGGGGGGGGGGGCAAGAGGATCTTACGAGGTGTTACGCCATTCTTTCGTTTTTCGAAGACAGAAACAGAAAATTGAAACACTTGTTGCCGAGCCGGTTCAGGATTCATCTGAGACCCGGACCTCGCGAACAGGGCGAGTTTTTGGGTCTTCCCTGTCACGATCATCGCGTCCCGCCCATTTTTATCTGCGCTCTGTGAATTACATTTTCATTGTTCGTTTTTCTCGAAGCCGATGAACGTTTATTTCTTGAATCTGATAAAATGATTTTCAAGTTTGCAATGTTATATGTAAATTTATAGTTCGATTTTTATAGAAAATGACACGCTCTATAATTGTTTTATTTTTACAAAACTAACTCTCGAATAATTTTATTCATGATACACTAGTAAGAAAATTTTTATTTATTTATGAGAAATTTCCTTTTAAAAGTTTTCAATTCATTTTAATTTTTAACAGTCCGAACTTTTATTTTGAACCAGTATTGCATATCCAATGCCTCATACAATTAATTGAAGGCATAGTCTACCGATGTGCATCTGGTGGAGCCAAAAAAAATTGCGCCAGAATCGTTTTCGTATCAGTTGGAAAGAGATAAAAGCACAATGAGAAGATAAATTTGTTCCTTTTTTTGGTATTATCGTGTCACTATCTAATGCAATTACTCTAGTCGTGCCGACCGCCCAAGTTGCAGTTATATTCCGAACTCCTCGAATACAATAATAATGTGCGAACCGACCACCCACCTGTCTGGTTGTTCACGCACCACTAGAACCGGTTTTAAAACCCTCGTGAGCTCTACGTACTTTCATAAGCAGTAGACTGATGACGACATATTTTTTAACAGGTAGCTTCGGCATTGAGCTCTTACGCTCTCATTGTGTCGGTGGCGACTTCAAGGGAGTCAGTGGTGTAGAAATGACTCTCTTACGAGAGAAAGATGATGGAAATCAGTCTGCTAGAAGGAGCTGGCAGTGATGAGAGAACTATCTTCATAACACGAATATGAACGTGCGAGATTATGAATATGAAAGCCTGTAACAAGAATGGGTTAAGGACGTAGATTAAGACCCATCTCATTTTTTTAAAACTTGCCTGTAATTTCTTACCATTTTTGGAAACACGGCTGTGACAGGATTTTAAAGGATGAGTCAGCAAACCTACCGGTCAGGTGTGTTTTGGTTCAGAACATAAAATTTTGTGGACGATTTGTAGTGTTTAGCAAGTCTGGATATGTAAGAATCATTCATAATAATAACGGTCATTGGTTGCTTTTTCTCGTTTAAATGGTTGCGGTTAATGATTTTTGCTTGTATTTTTATTTTATCAGAAGGTGATGTAATTGCGAATTCTTGTTGAGTAATAGTTCAGATAGGAAGACGCCTTTTAAGAAGACTCGAAACATTCCGGACGACAAAAATATGAAAAAGCAGTTTTTGTTTTGTATTTTAAATTTTGGAATCAGGAAACAATTGGTTTTAGTCATGCAAATAAATGTTATCATATTCCAATAAATTGGAGAGTCAGAGAGAAACTTGGTAGGTGGGCTATGTTCATAGGAAGGCAGATAAATATAAATCACGACGCGTTAATGAGGTAGAAGAATATTTAGAAACTTAATGGAGACAGTAAACAAGATGAAATAAACTTGGAGAAAACGCAGCCGGCGACGCCACAGAAAGAACACGAAAGTAACGAAAAGATGACTCAATAAAAAAGCAACAGGAAACGAGAGATAACAAGACGTGCAGGAGGTGAATGATGATTAAAAATAGAAAAGCGGGACGAAAAGAAGTTCGTACTGGACGATTTACTCCATTTGCCCTCCGAGGGGGCACATGAGAACAAGAAATGGGCATTACCTAGGTTAATAAGTCAAAAAAAAAACTCTACGCCTTCATAATCTCTTGGCTCAAAACACGTGAGAATGGTTAGACCGCGGCCTCCTTTCTTTCAAAAAATGGATTGGTCGAAATACTTTTTCATTAAGCAATACGACATTTGACAAAATAACAATATCCCAGATTCTGTACTGAACAGTAATTGCGACTTTCTCGGAGTGATATTTCTTATTATAATACATCTACCTTCCGAAAAATTGGAAATTAAGAATTGGCGCTGTTTTCATTTACAATAAGTGTATAGGACTATGAAATACTTTATAAAAAAAGTCAGTAATTATGAATGCTTACGTCTCAGATTACGTACTTTCTTACACGAGCATTTTTAGTAAATTCACTGACGACTTAAAGTATAGAAACAAAAGGAAACCGGTAAAATGGCCTGGACGACGTAAATCAAAAAACAAACAAAGCAAGCCTGCTGGAAGGCTGTCCACCCACGCCCCGGAAGTGAGCCCGACGCTGCACGAGGTCCAGTGCTCCAGCGCCGCGGAGGCCGTGGGAGGGCGCGCGGGGGTGGGTCGTGCGCGGAGGCGGGGGACTCCCGCGGCGCCCACGTGCACCGGCGAGGGGCGGCGGCGGCGGCGGCGGCGGCGGCGCGGGGCAGACACTGCCCTTGGGCCGGTGCCTCCACACGGGGTGAACGCTCTGCTCGGGCGGTCGCCGCCGCCGCCGCCGC